CTATAAATAATTCCCGACTTTCATATACCTCGAACCCACTTTCTTCAAATATTTCCTGAAACGCCTTCCATACATCATGTCTAGCGTGCCTCTGGTTGCTGTGGATATTGTACCTTCTGTGCCTCCGGTTGCTGTAGATATTGTACCTTCTGTGCCTCTGGTTGCTGTAGATATTGTACCTTCTGTGCCTCTGGTTGTTGTGGATATTGTACCTTCTGTTTTCATGTCAGTATCAAACCTCACACCAGATGAAAAGCGTAGTCTTCTTTTTGATGTAAACGGAGTTTTAGAGGTTCCAATACAAGATTTTAATGATAATTGGTGGCTGTTAGTTTCGAATATTTGGACATTATGGGATTCACACAAATATGTGAATGGAGATGCTAGAAAGACCTTTGCCTGCCGTTTTATGAAGCATAGAACATTGAGTACTCGGCAAAAGGAAAATATTCCAAACGAACAACGCAGAATAACGAAGATACGGCCATCTGGCCTATGTAATGTGAAAATTAAAGTTTTTTGGTTTGTTGCTTCGAATGTGGTCTGAATAGAACGATATCAAAACTCCTCCAACCACACACATACTCTATTAGAAGTCGACAAGATAAAGTGATCAAAGACCATCAGGAGTTTGGTTGAACAAGAGGCAATAAAAAATTATTCCCCTCTAGCAATCACAGCCGCTGTAAAAGAATTTGCAACGACTACATTAGGTTTTGGCACAAGTGTGCGTGAGTTAAAGCGCAAAGAAGTTACGAACATTAAATATAAGGTTCGCGGGCCTATGGAAGCGCACCTTATCGGAAATTCAAGTTTAAAATTGGATATCTTGGAATCCATATCTTATTTAGTAAAGCAGGGGTATCTGGTTGAGGAATATTCTGTTTTACAACATTCTACTAAGAGAATTGTGTTTGCGCACCCGGAACAACTAAAAAAACTTGAACACCATGGATGTTTGACGCTCATCGATTCGACTCACAAGATCAACTGGTACGATTGGCGTTTGTTCACTCTTTACATCCGGGATACTTACGGCTGTTGGAATGTGGGGGCTCACTTTTTTGTGAGCAGTGAAGATAGTAACACAGTATCGAAAGCATTATTGATAATTCGTAACAAGTGTAGTCGCTGGTTTCCCCGTTACATGCTTTCAGATCAAAGCAGTATCGAGGCCAAGAGCATAAAAAAGGTTTTTAGCGGTATAACCACCGGTGAGCAAGAATGCCAAATTATACTTTGTGTCGTTCATGTTATGAGAATATGGATGCAAAAAATATATGAAAAAGAAATCCGGGATGTTATAATTCTCGCAATGCACAAACGAACCAAGATTGGCTGTGAAAGTCTTGTTCAGAATGCTATCAGTCGTTGCTCCATTCCTGCTTTGCAAAATTATATTAAAAGGAACTATTTAAAAAACACGGAACAATGGGGTTTGTGGGCACGTCAACATTTCCCTTTGCTTTTACAAGTTACATCTATGAATCTACTAGAATCCTTTCACAGCGAGATAAAGAAGGTAACGTCTTCTCTACATGGATTAATTGGTAAGTTTAGGGTTAAAGTTAGGGTTTTTTGATTATTTTTTTCTTTAATCACTTGCTCACTT